CAGTGATAATGGTGCAAACGCAGCTCCCCTGACCATCTGGCCGATTCTGGCCCAGGCCCGAGGGAATGGCATTGCGGCCAACTGAGAGTCACCTCCTGCTGCCCTGGGTGGAAGTATGCACCATGCGGAGTCAATGGGAGACATTCTCCCATCAGCTCCCTTTGCTCTTCCCATCTGGATAGAGCACTGGGGTGACTGCAGAGCAGCCTGCACTCTATTTGGGTGGGGTCTTCACCGCACTCCCTAAATCCACTGCCGGGGGTTAATCTCAGAGTGTGACCCTAGGCTATTGTGTAGATGGAACCAGTGACCTGCCGCCCCAGCACAGACCAGCCCCTCCCAGCACCGACTCCAAGCCTGTTCCCATGGAGATGGGACCAGAGACATCACTTCCCCCCTCCACCACCACTTCCCTCTCTCAGTTTCCAGCCCCAGGCCAGTGACCTGGAGGAGGAGAGAGGGGCAGAGAAGGGGATGGGAGAATCAGCAGCAGTGGTAGTGAAGGAGAAGGCAGCTGGCTGTGTGGGTGCGGGGGCTGTGGGGTCAGGGGCAGAGGGGTGCAGACTGTGGGGCAGGGGTGGTGGGCGCAGGGACAAAAGCTGTGCGGACACAATGTCGGGGTAACTGCTGTGGCCAGCAATGGGGAGAAGGTGAACTCTCCCCCAAGGAGGAAGAGCCCCAGCAGAAATGACAGAGCGGAGCAGTGTCACCATAATCTTCCTAAATTGACAAAATGGGTCTCCATCTGGAAAAGGTTGGGAACTGCTGCTGTAGGGGCTACTCTGTGCTGTGAACTCACCTGTGTCGAGGGAGCTGGTCCCAACACGATGGAGGGAGAGGAGGGATGAGCTGGTGAAGGGCTGGGTGAGGGATGGGCCCAGGCTGGGTCACTGGAGCTCCCACTCATTGGACAGAGCCTGGCAGATTTTCTCCCCCTCTTTTACGAGCTGTTTTGTTCTGCCCTGTCCAAGTTTTCTGCCTGTTTCCCTTCCCCACCCCCGGCTCAGGGCAACAAATGGTGACCAGCTGGGACCCTTCTGTCAGAATTTTCTACTATTGTGGGATCCCCGTGTAACATAGACAGAAATACCAACAGTCCCGGTTACAAGATATCGTTGTCACAAGGTAACAAGATGGCTATTTAGTACACAAAGAAAATACCCTATACAGAAAACCTACCGACCGCTATACTTACCTGCATGCCTCCAGTTTCCATCCCGGACACACCACACGATCCATTGTTTACAGCCAAGCACTGAGGTACAACCGCATATGCTCCAACCCCTCAGACAGAGACCTACACCTACAAGACCTTCAACAAGCATTCTGTAAACTGCGATACCCACACGAGGAAGTGAGGAGACAGATTGACAGAGCCAGACGTGTACCCAGAAGCCTCCTGCTACGGGACAAGCCCAAGAAAGAAACCAACAGAACACCACTGGCCATCACCTACAGTCCCCAGCTAAAACCTCTCCAACGCATCATTAGTGATCTTCAGCCCATCCTGGACAATGATCCCTCGCTCTCACAGGCCTTGGGAGGTAGGCCGGTCCTTGCCCACAGACAACCCGCCAACCTGAAGCATATTCTCACCAGCAACTACACACCGCACCATAATAACTCGAACTCAGGAACCAATCCTTGCAACAAACCTCGGTGCCAACTCTGCCCACATATATACACCAGCAACACCATCACAGGACCTAACCAGATCAGCCATACTGTCACTGGTACATTCTCCTGCACATCCACCAACGTAATATATGCCATCATGTGCCAACAATGCCCCACTGCTATATACATCGGCCAAACTGGACAGTCCCTACGTAAAAGAATCAATGGACACAAATCTGATATTAGGAATGGCAACATACAAAAACCTGTAGGGGAACACTTCAATCTTCCTGGACACACAATTGCAGATCTAAAAGTAGCCATCCTGCAGCAAAAAAACTTCAGGACCAGACTTCAAAGAGAAACTGCTGAGCTACAGTTCATCTTTAAGTTTGACACAATCAACTCTGGATTAAACAAAGACTGTGAATGGCTTGCTAACTACAAAAGCAGCTTCTGTTCTCTTGGAATTCACACCTCCAGATCAGCTGCTAGAAGTGGGCCTCATCCTCCTTGATTGGATCCACCTCCTCATCTCCAGCCTGATCCTGGCCTGCATATTTATACCTGCCTCTGGATATTTCCACTACATGCATCTGACGAAGTGGGTCTTTGCCCACGAAAGCTTATGCTCCTACACTTCAGTTAGTCTATAAGGTGCCACCGGACTCCTCGTCACTTTTGCAGATTCAGACTAACACGGCTATCCCTCTGATAAAGAAAATAAAAGCGTCTAAAACAAATTCATTTAGAATGCTCCAGGTCCCACCCCCCTGCAATGCTCTGTGATAAAAATGACTGATTGGGCCGATTTTTTGAGTGAGATATTGGCTACCGAACAAGCAAAGGCTGGGGGGAGACATATCACACGGCATTGAAGATCGGCTTTGGTTCTGTTTTCCATCTGATGCCATGTGAATTTTTCAGAGTCATAATTTAATTTAGGAGTTTCATTCATGATAGGCAGTTTCTGACATGATGCCCAAAAATGACCTGGATTATTTGAAAATAAATCCCCTACAATCACCGGCAGATAGAGCCATGTTTGGTTCATCCAGTGAACTGGTTTCTAGGTGACACAAAGTTCCAATGCTGCCTGTTGTTCCCCTTGTTTCGTAAAGGGGAAGATTAAGCTGAATCATAGAATACTAGGACTGGAAGGGACCTCAAGAGGTCAGCGAGTCCAGTTCCGTGCCCTCATGGCAGGACCAAATACTGTCTAGATCATCCCTGATAGACATTTATCTAACCTACTCTGAAATATCTCCAGAGATGGAGATTCCACAACCTCTTATAGGGACTCTTCCCATAAAACTGTATTCAGCATGCAAGGCCCATACCTGGATAAGAATATTTGCATATGAAAATATGGCAGAAAGGGAAGAACTTGCATTGTCCCCCCAAGGCTATATCTACACTGGCGACTTCTTGCGCAAGAACATCTTGCACAAGGGTTCTTGTCACTCTGCTGGCCTTGTGCTAACTATTCCTGGCTGACCCCACTAGGAGCTGGTGGAGCAGTTCTAGGGCTTGTCTCCGGCTGTCACCCCCGGAGGGGACAGTTGTGTGAGAAATTCCATGGGAGTTTAAGACAGCTGTGACGTGGATCGGCTCCTATCCCTGTGGGCTGCAGTCTGGGGCAGGTCTTGGGGCTCAGTCCCTATGAAGGAGGCTGCCCAGGGGTACAAGATGGAAATCTGGGTTCCCTCCATATTCATTAAGGGTCATTGAACCCTGCAGGTCTCTTTTGCCATCTCTGCCCTGGTGGAGATGTCCCTGGTGTGCAATTTGGGATATTTGGTTGACCCCTGTAATTTTCAGGCACACCCAGGGGTACAAGATGGAAATCTGGGTTCCCTCCATATTCATTAAGGGTCATTGAACCCTGCAGGTCTCTTTTGCCATCTCTGCCCTGGTGGAGATGTCCCTGGTGTGCAATTTGGGATATTTGGTTGACCCCTGTAATTTTCAGGCACATGTTGCCGACATTGTCTCCTGCAGGTGACATTCCAGGAAGCCCTGGGTTTGCTCAGGAAGGATGAGACAGAGGCTCTGAAGAGGGAACACAGTGAGGAAGTGACAGCCCCAGAGTGGCAGAGCAGGTGTCTGATTTTACTCTGGAAAAACACTGGATTCTGCATAGTCAGGAGTGAGGCCACATTCCCACCGAGCACCCAGTGTTCTGCCTGTGCCTCCCACCATCCCCAAATCAAACATCCCCTGAATAATTTCACATGCAGTATCATGGGCAGAACGCCCTCCTCGCAGCCAACATGCTCCTGGCAGGCAGAAGACCCATAGCTGGGGAGGGCCCCAGGTGGGGCAGCAGGGCACAGAGGTTCGCCAGTGACATGGTGTACCTCAATGAGACACTCGCCCCAGCAGGAGTGCCATATGGGGGACTGGAACTCCAGCACTCCCAGGACTGGTGACTCATGGTGGGCTGAATAGTTTATTCATCAACAGGTTTGGGTTGCAAACCACCAGGCCCCTTGGTTAATCCACAACAAGGTTAATCCATGGCTGGCCATGTCCCAGGGTGAGCCCACCCTCCCTGCGGCCTGTAGGGAGGAATTCTGGGCCTTCTCTGAGGAGGGGGCCCAGCAGCAAGGGGGGTGCTCCAGGCACATTGGAAGCAGTGGGCTTTGCTGCTTGTACCATGGCCATGGCGATCATCTTGGCTGCTACTCTCTGGTCTCCCTGTTTGCGGAGCCAACCCATATAAAGCTCCACGGCCTTACAGACTTCCACACAACCCTCAGGATGCTGGGCTGGTACACATCCCTGGATCTTCCTGTTAGCGGCTTAAGCTAAGGAAGGCTGCACCTGTCAGGAGCTGCCTCATGCTAAGAGGCGACTGAGCAAACAGCCCCAGGCTCCCGTTCAGTCAAGCTCGACTCATCCCAAACCTTTGGGCAAATGCCCTTTTTGAGGGTCTCCCTGAGGATGACGTGTCACTCTGCTCCCGGATCCTTCCTCCCTGCATTTGCCTGCCACACGCTGCCCTTCCTCCCAGCCTGGGAGTCCTTAACATCAGAGTGGTGGGTCCTCAGTACGGTGATGCATGGTTACACCCTGCAACAAACCTGGGGTGGGCAATAATTTTTGATGGGGGCATCCACTCCAAGATTTTGGTCAGGGGCTGCACTTTTTTATGAAGAGGGCTGGAGGATGGGATGGAGGTTGGGTGCAGAAGGGAGCTCAGGGCAGAAGACTAGGGTGCAGGAGGGAGGGTGGGGTCTGGGCAGGAGTTTGGGTGAAGAAGGGTTGTGAGCTGGGACAGGTGCTTGCTGTGGGTCTGAGCAAAGACTTCCTCTCCATTGCCGGCTTCCTCTCTTGGGCGGGGTCTGGTGTATGTGTTCCTCTTGATCCCTCTCATCATCATGGTCCAGCTGAAGATCCAGCTGGACCAGATGCAGCTCATCCTGATGGCCCTGGTGTGTCTGAGCCTTGATTGGCACAGGCTGCTGATGAGTCCGGCGTCTCCCTCCATGGCCTCTCCTGCAATGTGCAGACCTGTTCTCATGACCACGATTTCCAATTGCACCATGGGCTGGTGTCACTCCACCTCATGGTGCAGCTGCTGCTTGGCTGCCTCCGCAGAAACAGCCTGTTTGGAAGGGTGAAGCAAGTTCCTCTAGGGAGTCCAAATCCTGTGACCAGGCAGGCAGGCCTGGCAACCTGGGCCCAGTTTTGCAACTGGGCTGCAGAGAAGGCGCCTCCCCTTCTCGGGCTTCCTTTACAGACCCTGCTGGATTGTCGGCTTCGTCACAAACATCCAGGCCTGGTTCATGCCTCCATTAACATGCACTTTGTTGCATTGATTCATTCTCCTTCTTGGGGGTAGAAGAGAGAAGGCTTAACCCCCCCCCATAGTCCCCAATGATTGTGAAACAAATTCTATTCCCCTTTGCACCCAACAAAAGCAGTGTACTGCAGAGGAATGTGATTCGTCCTGTCATTAATGACCATCAGAGCCAGGAGCCCATTTGGGGACCGATGTCTCCCAGCTGCTAAGGCCAGGCTGCCCAGCCCAACAGGCTGTTTTACTGCCCCAGGTGGGAGGGGGGGGGGGGGGGGAGCCACTCCAGGGGGCTGCTCTTTGCTTCACTGCCCTCTTCCCCTGGGCAGGACCCAGAGTGGCCACACGCCTGCTCCAGTCCCTCATGTTCCCTTCCTGTCTGGCCCCACAAGCTCAGGACCAGTAGCCCCGGGGCTGCGTGGGCAGGGGGCTGGCCTGTG